CCTACTAGCCTCATCCCGCCCCCTTGACCTGTCCGTCCTCCCTGGACCGACCTATCCCCTCCCTAACTCCCCACCTACACTCACCTTTACTGGCTCCATCCCCGCCTCTTTGACCTGTCTGTCTCCTCTCCACCTATCTTCTCCTCTATCCATCTTCTATCCGCCTCCTCCTCTCTCCCTATTTATTTCAGAACCCCCTTCCCCTCCCCCATTTCTGAAGAAGGGTCTAGGTCCAAAATGTCAGCTTTCCTGCTCAGCCTGCTGCGTTCATCCAGCTCTACACCTTGTTATCTCAGATTCTCCAGCATCTGCATTTCCTACTATCTCAGTGTACCTGAAACCCTAGATCTCTCTGTTCAGCAACACTATCCAAGGCCCTACCATTAACTATACAAGTCCTGCCTTTGTTTGTTTTACCAAAATGCAATACATCACAATTACCCAAATTAAACTCCATCAGCCACTCCTCAGTCCATCAGCCTACTTGATCAAGATTCCTTTGTAATCTTAGAAAACCTTCACTGTCCACTATACCATCAATCTTAGTGTCATCTGCAAATTTACTAACCATGCCTCCTAAATTCTCATCCAAATTGTAGTTTATACAAAAGTGGATCCAGCACTAATTGCCGCGGAACACCACCGGTCATACGCTTCCAGTCTGAGAAACAACCCTCTACCACCTCCGTTTCCTACTATCAAGCCAATTAGCAAGCTCTCCCTGAATCCCATGTTATCTAACTTTACTAATTAGCTTTCAAGTGGAACCTTGTCAAAGTCTTTACTAAAAGTCCATATGGACAATGTCTACTGCTCTGCCCATAATAATCTTTTTTGTTACATCCTCAAAAAAACTCAATCAAGTTTGTGGGACACAACTTCCCTCTCACAAAGCCATGCTGACTATCCCTAATCAGTCCTCACCTCTCCAAATGCATGTAAATCCTATCTCTCAGAATCCCCTCCAACAACTTATCCACCACAGATGTCAATCTCACAGGTCTATAGTCCCCATGTTTACCCTTACAGCCTTTCTTAATTAAAGGCACAACATTAGCCACCCTCCAGTCCTTTGGCACCTCATCCGTGGCTGTACGTGATACAAATAACTCTGCTAGGAGCCCCCGCAATCTTTCCCTAACTTCCCAAAACGTCGTGGGATACACTTGATCAGGTCCCTGAGATTTATCCACTTTTATGTTTTTTTAAGACTTTCTGCACTTCCTGTTCTGTAATGTGGACTGTTTTCAGACATCAATATTCATTTCCCCGATTTCCCTAGCCTCCATTTCTGTCTCCACAGTAAATCTGATGCAAAATATTCTTTCAACATCTCTCCTATCTCCTGTGGTTCCACACACAGACAATCTCGTTGATCTTTTAAGAGGTGCTATTCTCTCCCTAGTTGTTCTTTTGCTCTTAATATACTTGTAGAATCTCTTTGGATTATCCCTAACCTTATCTACCAACGCTATCTTATATCCCCTTTTTGCCCTTTTGATTTCCCTCTTAAGAATGCTTCTACACCGCTTACACTCTTGAAGAGATTCACTTGGCCCCAATTGTCTGGATCTAATATATGACTCCTTATTTTTGAACAGAGCCTCAATATCTTTATTCATCCATTGTTCCCTACACTTATCAGGCTTACCCTTCACTCTAACGGAAACATAATGCCTCTGAACTCTTGTTACCTCACTTTTGAAAGCCTCCCATTTGCTAGTTGCCCTGATTACCTGCGAACTGTCTACTCTAAATCAACTCTTGAAAGTTCCTGTCTCATACCATCACAATTTGCCTTACTCCAATTAAGAACTTTAACTTTTATACAAGGCCTATCCTTTTCCACACCTATTTTAAAACTAATAAAATTATGATAACTGATTCTACAGTGCGCCCCCACTAACACTTCAGTCACTTGCCCTGCCCTTATTTCTCAACAGAAGGTCAAGTTTTATCCTTCTCTAGTAGGTACATCTACATCTTGATAAAGAAAATTTTCTTGAACACATCTAACAAATTCCTCACCATCCAAGCCCTTAACACCATGTCAGACCAAGTCTATGTTTGGGAAGTTAAAATCCTCTCTGATTACAACCCTATGAGTCTTACATATATCTGAGATCACCAACCTGGGGAAACATCTTTGTAGCATTGCCCTGGCAAGCTCTCAAAGTATTTTATATCTTTCAGTGAGATCTTCACGCATCATTTGAAAACAAAAACATATTTTCTATTACAGCTGCCAAACTAGTAATTTCTCCACATCACAATCCACTTGCCATATTCATAGAAGATCATAGAATCCCTACAGGCCCTTTGGCCCAACAAGTCCACACCAGCCCTCACAGCATTCCACCCAGACCCATCCCCCATAATCTACACATCCCTGAACACTTTGGGCAATTTAGCATGCCCAATCCACCTAACCTGCACATCTTTGGACTGTGGGAGGAAACCTGAGCGCCCGAAGGAAACCCACACAGACACGGGGAGAATGTGCAAACACCACACAGACAGACCACACTCTCTCTTCCTCTTTTCTCAGATTGGAGACAAGTTGAAAGTGGTGCTCCCCAAAGATCCATGTTGAGACCCTTGCTTTTTCTGATTTATAGAAACTATTTAGAGATAGGTGTTGAGGGCAAAATCTCTAAATTTGCACATCATACTCAGCTCAGGAGAATAATGAATTGTATGGATGATGCTGAGCAACTTCGGAAAGGACATTGACATGTTGGCCAAATGGACAGATAAACTTCAATGCTGACAAATGAGAGGTAATACAGTTTGGTAGAAGAAACATGGAGTGACAATCCATGCTCAATGTTACAATTTTGAGGGAAGTACAGTAGCAGAAGACCTTTGGGTTCACTTGCTTAATTCTCCGAAGATAACCAGGCAAGTTGCAACAGTTGTTATAATGGCTTATAGGACCCTTGGGTTTATAAATAGAGGCACAGAGTATAAAAGCAAGTAAGCGATGCTACACCTCTACAGATCATTGGTCTGACCATATTTGGAGCAGTGTGTTCAGTCCTGAGCACCTTTATTTAAAGGAAGATGTCAAAGCTCCTCACAGAATGCAGAAGAGATTTACTGGAATGACACCAGGAATGACAGATATAGAGACAAGGAAAAATGAGAGAAGTTGGACTTAACCTTCTCTGCTCCAAAGGAGAATAAGAAGTGACTTTATTGAGGTCTTCAAAATAATGAACAATTTTGACAGGATAAAGATATTCTGTTTCCACTAGTTAATATGCCAGTAACTAGGGGTCACAATTTCAAGACTGTGCGCTAGAAAGCTGGGATTGAGATGAGGAGAAGCTTCTTTACTCAATGTTATTAGGATTTGGAACGCGTTGCATGGGAGTGTGTGGAATTAGATTCCATATGATGTTTTGAAAGAGAGTTGGGTATATTTGAAAGTGATGAATTTGGAGGGCTTAGAAGGTAGTGCCTGAGAATGGGACTAAGCTGGATGGCTCTTTTGGGAGCCAGTACATACTCAATAGGTCAAATGGCCTCCTTCTGTACTGTAAAATTCTGTAATTCCTCTTTGCATCCTCCTCACAGCTGGCGTTCCCACCCAACTTTGTAACTTCAGCAAATTTGAATAATCACACTCACAAATGTCACTAATATTGATTGTAAATAGCTGAAGCCCAAGTACCACCCTTACGGTATTCCATTGTTACAGCTTGCTAGTGTGAAAATATTACATTTATTCCTGTTCTTTGGTTTCTGACCATTAACCAATTCTCAAACTGAGCTGACACACAATTCCATGGATGCTAGTTTTATATAATAATTTATTGCAAAGGACCTTACTGAATGCTTCTATGACAACCCAAAAACTCTACATTTACTAGTTCTCCTTAACCACACTAGTTGAATTCTGAAACTGAGTTGTTATACAAAATTTCCTGTTGTAAATCTGTGTTTATTAAACTCTATCATCATGTTATGATTTTGTTAACAGTTCCTAATAAATGCTAGCCTTTCCCAGCAACTGATGTCAGGCTAACTGGATAATTACCCCATTTCTCAAATACATCGCTGATCATTTTGAATGCCGCTATATGAAAAGTGAGAACAACCACAACCTTCTATAGATAGTAGGAACTGCAGATGCTGGAGAATCTGAGATAACAAGTTGTAGAGCTGGATGAACACAGCAGGCCAAGCAGCATCAGAGGAGCAGGAAAGCTGACATTTCGGGCCTCGACCATTCTTCAGAAATGGGGGAGGGGAAGGGGGTTCTGAAATAAATAGGGAGAGAGGGGGAGGCGGATAGAAGATGGATAAAGGGGAAGATAGGTGTGGACTTCACAAGCTTCAAAATCTCCCCTCCCCCAACCGCATCCCAAAACCAGCCCAGCTTGTCCCCGCCTCCCTAACCTGTCCTTCCTCCCACCTATCCCATCCTCCCACCTTAAGGCCCACCCCCATCTCCTACCTACTAGCCTCATCCCACCCACTTGACCTGTCCGTCCTCCCTGGACTGACCTATCCCCTCCCTAACTTCCCACCTACACTCACCGTTACTGGCTCCATCCCTGCCTCTTTGACCTGTCTGTCTCCTCTCCACCTATCTTCCCCTTTATCCATTTTCTATCCGCCTCCCCCTCTCTCCCTACTTATTTCAGAACCCCCTTCACCTCCCCCATTTCTGAAGAAGGGTCTAGGCCCGAAATGTCAGCTTTCCTGCTCCTCTGATGCTGCTTGGCCTGCTGTGTTCATCCAGCTCTATACCTTGTTATCTCACAACCTTCTATAGTCTCGCCATGGAAGGCTGAAGTCTCTGAACACTGGAACCATTCTGTGAATCTTTTCTGTTCCCACACTGAGACCTTGATATCCTTCCTAAAGTTTAGCAGCCAGATTTGGACAGAATAGTTCAGTTGAGACTTAAGTAGTGATTTGAAAAGGTTGAACATTACTTGTTTTAGAACATAGAACATAGAATAGTACAGCACAGTACAGGCCCTTTGGCCCACGATGTTGTGCCAACCTATTGTCCTTCTCTAAGATCAAACTACCCTGCATACCCTACATTTTACTATCATCCATGCGCCTATCCAAGAGTCGCTTAAATGTCCCTAACGTATCTGACTCCAGTATCACTGCTGGCAGTGCATTCCACGCACTGACCACTCTCTGTGTAAAGAACCTACCTCTGACATCTCCTCTATATCTTCCTTCAATCATCTGAAAATTATGCTCCCTCATAATAGTCATTTCTACCTTGGGAAAGAGTCTCTGGCTATCCACTCTATCTATACCTCTCATCATCTTGTACACCTCTACCAAGTCACGTCTCATCCTTCTTCGCTCCAATGAGAAACACCCTAGCTCGCTCAATGTTTCCTCATAAGACCTGCCCTCCAGTCCAGGCAGTGTCCTGGCAAATCTCCTCTGCACCCTCTCTAAAGCTTCCACATCCTTCCTATAATGAGGTGACCAGAACTGAACACAATATTCCAAGTGTGGTCTAACCAGGGTTTTATAGAACTGCAGCATAACCTCGTAGATCTTAAACTCAATTCCCCTGCCAATGAAAGCCAACACACCATATGCCTTCTTAACAACCCTAACAACTTGGGTAACAACTTTGAGGGATCTATGGACGTGGGCCCCAATATCCCTCTGTTCCTCCACACTGCCAAGAATCCTGCTATTAACCCTGTGTTCTGCATTCAAATTCAACCTTCCAAAATGAATCACTGCACACTTTTCAGGGTTTAATTCCATCTGTCACTCCTTTGCCCAGCTCTGCATCCTGTGAATGTCCCGTTGCAACCTACAACAGCCCTCCACACTATCGACAACTCCACCTACCTTCTAGTTAAGATTTTGAAATAGTTGCTTAATGAAAATATTCCTCGAGAGGATATCTACCTCTATGTTAAAAGATATTGCACCAAAATAAGCAGGAAGTCATAAACTACAAGTTTGTACAAGTGCCAAAGTGTTAAATAACCTTACCAGTCTTTGCCCGGATAGTACCTCCAGCAAAGCCATCAGGATCTTCCCATCTTGCATGTCTTTAAACAAATCCTTCACCTCTAGGGGCGGATTGCACTGAAAAAGTACAAACAAACAATGACTGGCAAACAGTGAATAAACAATTCTAAAATATACATGTGGACAAACAAAAATTTGCATTCATTTTACCAGTGAAGTATAAGGGAATAATGGACATGGAATCAGGGGGAAATTTCAAGAGTTTTGAAATGAAAGAATTTGTTATTTTGAGAAGTTAAAAGTTCTCAATAAATGGAACTGGGGAGCTTGTGTTTATTTCACTTTTATATAGAACAAGAGATATAAATGCTATCTAAACCTCTAGTGTCTCGTGCATTCAACAGCAACTTACCTTTACAGAATGCTCTTAATCTAGAAAACTAATCCACAGCAACTGTCTCTCAGATATGTTCCCAGATAGAAACTGCACCAAAAACTTAAAAAGGGGCATAATTGGAGGTTTAGCCCAAATAGGGCAATTGCGCGCTTTGAGGTAGTTCTCAGCCATCACAAGATGGGGCAGATATAGTCCTGGCTCTGGACACCTGCTGGGTCTCATGTCTGTGTGCTCAGTCATTTAGAGGATACTGATCGAGTTTGAGTCCAATGTTTTTCAATGTTCATCCTGCTCACTATTTAAGCTCAGATCTGAAGAATGACTTTTGGGTGATATGTTGGAGCAAAGCCAGAACTGATGACCATATACCTCAGCAAGAGGCAACAACGACTGGAGACTTTGATAGGAAAACACAGAATAGTAACGACATTATTAATCAATCATTCACAGTTGGGCAGAATGTAAAATTATATAAAATGTTTTTATTTTTAATTATTTCAAAGTATATGGGCATCACTGGCTAGACCAGCATTCATTGTCCATCCCTAATTGCTTAGAGGATAGTTAAGAGTCAACCACATTGCTATGGGTCTGGAGTCACATATAGTCACATTTAACATTGAAGATAGGAGGAGACTATTTGGCCCTTTGAGCCTGCTCCGCCATTCATCACAACCATCCTAATCCTGCTTTCTCACAAATTTGATCTGTACTCTCCAAATGACTAAACACGCATGCGATCCAGAAAGTATCCCTAGCCAAGACTATACCTGCCCCATCTTGTGATGGCTGAGAACTACCTCAAAGCCCACAATTGTCCTTTTTGGGCCAGACATCCAACAATCTCCCTCATTTGGTTTGGTGCACTTTCTGTCTGGGATCACATCCAAGAGACGGTTGCTGTGGGGTAATTTTGTAGATTTAAAAGTACTCAGTAAATGCAAGTTGCTGTTGAGTATAACTAGACACTGTACAGGTTTATACAGCATATATATCTCTGGTCTTATATAAAAGCGAAATAAACACAAGACCAGTTAAGGATGGCACATTTCTTTCCCTAAAGGACATAAGTAAACCAGATGGATTTTTTCCTGACAATTGACAATGGTTTCATGGTCAGCAATAGACTTTTTATTCCAGATTTTTATTGAATTAAAACTCCATCTGCCTGTGCCATTAACAAGATATGTAAATAATGTTACAACCTAGGCTGGAGGAGTGTACCATCACACCAGGCCCACGTTTCTATGGATCACAACATGAAATAAATATTTTTCTGATTAGCATGACAACCAATTAAATCCCTCATTGGCATTAGGTTTTACACATGATACATAAACAAAGTTTCTTAATAAACAGTTGGAGGTTTAACATCAAATTAAACCTACTTAATAAAAATACAGTTAGTTAACACACAATCACGAATAAAGTATAAATGCTTATCCCTCTCAGTAACCCAAAAACACTCAAAGATAGCATTTTATCCTTGCAGAAAAACAGCACATCAGCCAATGGGTTATATTTGAAGGCAAAAGGATAAAGTGTAAAATGTTCCAGAAACTTATGTTCTGGCTTATGTGGTCAAATCACTAATCATGCACAATTGTTTCTGAAGTTTTGCAAACACAGTTTTCTCAGGAAACTCAATGTTGAGATGTTTCTTGTATCATTTGTTCAAGATGAACAAATAAATTTCACACTGAACTCAACAAAAAAGGATTGTTTTCAGAAATTAAAGCAAAACAGCTGGGCAGCTTGTTTTTAGCAGGCCTTCCTCCAAATCAGTTTGTTCTTAGATGGTTTCCTTCCGATTGAAACAGATAAAAGTACCCCACCAAGCCAGCCATCATTCAGAGCCAGCCACAGTCCACTTCAAAGCAAACAGTTACCACCTATCATGTGATTTACAGGAAACCTCATTAAAACAATCTCCGAAGTCCATTTTCAAAGAACAGGGTCTATTTCCAATGCAAAAGTGGCCACTGTGATCCATCTGTGCATGTTCAGTTGTGCATTGACCTCAAATGCATGCGCAGTTGCACTGTCAATTGACAGCAACATGAGATGCATGTTAGAACACAACTATACATCTAATTCATGTTCTCCATCCTCCCAATCTGTGATATCCTTTATGTTAATTCATTAGTTAAGGACAAAAACATTTCATTCCTTTTAAATCTGCTTGTGACCTTTTAGCACAGTGTGACTTCCCCCCCTCCCCCACTCATGAGCGTAGCTGGCTATGCCAGCATTTATTGTTCATTCCTAGCTGCCCTTGAGAAGTTGATGGTGAGTTGTCTTCTTGAACTGTTGCAGTCCATTTGCTGTAGATTGACCCTCAATGCCATTAAGGAGGGAGTTCCAGGATTTTGATCTAGCAATATTGAGTGTAGATATTTTCCAAATCAGGATGGTTAGTGGCTTGGAGAGTGTTATGAAATGGAGGTCGACCCCCACCGATAACTAAAACTGAAACACCCAGAGAAGCTCACCTCGCCTCATAATCTGATAAAGGAAGTGTGAAAAGTGCTTTAATCTGCCTGTCACCCACCCCCCAATCTGTTATAAAGGGGAGGTTAAATGAAATGAACTCATGTCAGTCACTCTATAATCAACAAGTGACAATTTATTTATCTAGCAGTGAACAAATTAGCAGAATTACTAACAAACTGAACAATTCCCCCTTAACTTCTAACTATTCCCGAATAAAACAAAATTCTAATGATATGATGTTCCAATAGATACAAGTCCCACTTATATAAATGAAATTAATTAAAAAATGCTTAATCTCTCAAAATTACAGCCAGGATAAGTCTTCCAGAATGTTCTTTGCCTTCTCCATTGTCCTCTAGTCCGGAATACCTTCCTCTCTCAAATTCTTGTGTCAGGAATATTAGCTAAGAGTGCCACAATTACCTTTGTTTAGATGGTGCTTACTCTGGAGATCTTAGGAGATTTCTGTGAGAACCAGTGATTTTCTCTTTCTTTCGAGTTGATGCTGTTGAGAGTTATTCTCTTAACAGATGGCAGTTTTCTCTCACACTGATTTTCAAATGCCGTCTTCTTTTACACCCTTGATGGTCTATTAATTTTTTACAACTGGATAGGTCCAAGGTTGTCAAAACCATCAGATTTAAATTTAATTGGGCTTTGATACCTAGGTCCTGGTTTAAATTAATTGGCTAAATTCAAAACTTGTTCTCTTGGTAAAAATGTGGTTTTGCCTTTTGATAGAACGATTCAATTTCAATAACTCTATGCATCTGCCACTGCCTGCAGACTTTATTAAAAAAAATCTCCAAGAATAAATTAAACACGTCTTTTAAAGCGACCACACACTCTTCCCTTTTACCATTTTACAAACAAATCCTAATGTCCTGCCTTCCAATCCACAAGTAATATACTAATTTCACAACTCCTACCCCCCAAGAAAAAAAAGGACCATTATTATGAAAAGATGGCTTTTTTCCCCTCTAAATCTTAACACCATTATTACTAGCTCCATAGGTCATTAATCTGGAGTTAAACATTTCATACTAATTCTATATACATATATAACTGCACACTATGTGCCTATCTTATATATACACATTTTCCTTTTTAACCTGCGATAATGCATCCGCAACAACATTTTCACACCCCGTAACATGTACAATCCGAAAATTAAATGTTTGTAACATAAGACGCCAATGAAATAGTCTGGTGTTCTTGTCTTTAAATCTTTCGAAGAATGTAAAAAGGTTTGCGATCAGTGTACACAACCGTCTCTAATACATTGTTTGCAACATACAACATTAAAATGTTGTAAGGCCAATACCAAATTCAACATTAAAATGTTGTAAGGCCAATACCAAATTCAATAACTCCTTTTCAATAGTTGAATATTTTCTCTGGTGGATATTGAGTTTCTTTGAAAAATAATCGATTGGCCTTTCGATTCCACAATCATCCCCCTGTAACAACACAGCTCCAACACCTACATCGCTTACATTGTTGGGTGACTTAAGGGTTAAGAAATTTGGCGTGTCTAATACAGGTGTGGTGGTTAACACTGTTTTAAATTCTCAAATGCCTCCTGGCATTTGTCTGTCCAGCACAATTTTGTGTTCTTTTTTAGCAAATCTGTCAGCGGTGCCACCATACCACTAAAGTTTGGTACAAATTTCCTGTAGAATCCGTTCAGTCCCAAAATCATTGCACCTCCTTCTTCGAGGATGGTCTTGGAAATTCCTTGATGACCTTTGTCTTCACATTCCTTGGTGTCATCTGTCCACTTCCGATGTTATGTGCTAAGAACGTCTTTTCCGCCTTTGCGAATTCTGTCTTTGCCAAATTTATGACCAACTTCGCCTTCCGTAGTCTCTCAAAGAGCTTTGCCTAATGCACCATGTGATCTTTCCACGAATGGCTAAACATCATTAAGTCATCTAGACAGATGGCACAATTAGTCTATCCTGCCAAAACTGTTCATAAGTCTTCAAAGTGTAGCTGGTGCATTTTTCATTCCAAAGGGCATTAATTTAAATTGATGCAGCCCATTTGGGGTTACAAACGCAAAAACTTCTTTCGCTCTCTCCAACAAATGTATTTGCCAGTAACCACGAAGTAAGTCCAACTTTGAGATGCAAGTGTCCAACTTTTTCCACGTAGTCCTGCAGCCTTGGAATTGGGTACGAGTCTGATTTAGTCATGGCGTGACCTTTAGATAATCTATGCAGAA